CATTATTTATAGATCGCCGATTATCCACAGGTACTTGAACTAAAATGGAATTTGGTCAAACAAAAACATTTGATAAGAAAAAATGAACAAATTAATATCTATGATATGCAAATACAATAATAAATCAAAACTTAATCAATAATGATAAGGCGAATTATTAATATAGTTAAATTACACCACGATAACAAAATCATTATTTCACACTGATTTGTTTGTTTGATGATAAACTTATAAAATTTTAAGAATTCAGAACTTGTAATTTCGTTTACTTTTCCATTTTCCAACGCTAATCGTTCTTTCATCATTCGGAATTTTTTACACTCTTTAATTTATATCATTTTAAATAAAAAAAACCTATATACTACCAAAAAATGGGATCGAATAATTCAAAAAATACACACAGATTAAGAGATTCTATTAGTTCTAATCATTCATCAAATAAGAAACCACTCGAAAGAAAGACTTCAATAATTGATAAGATACGAAATGATATTTGTTTAGAAATGACCCTTACATAAATATATTTGGCAAAGTTAATAAACCAAATGCCAGGTAATTAAATTAATAGAATAAGTAATTCTAATGTACTCTAAAATTTTTGATAAAACAACAAAACTAATTTTCTGAATATATACAGTACTGTATATATTTAGTACTCGCGAGGAAGGAACCATAAATGCTTTTAAATTTTATTACCATTTTCGAAAGTCAAAAATCTAAAAAAGGTTATTAGATTTAAGTGAGTGGATTTTATATTAGATTATATGTGTCCAGATCAAGAGATTCCGTTATTGACTAGAATTTCTCATAAGGATGCGAGATGATGACAAATATAGGACGAAATCCGAAAATTGCTTCGCTTATTGGTAAATTTATGGAAAACACAAATCAATTCGGTGAGGTTAAGTTCGAAGAGAGAACAATAGGAATAGGTAGGGAGAGAAAAATTTTACTGGATTCCCTTTCGTTTAATAAATTTATTGGTTATTTATTTCTCACTTTGGTTAAATCCTTCATGATTTAGGGAGCTGGGCGGGAAGAATAGGAGAAGTGGCAAAAGATGACGTTGTGACAAGGATGTATTCTATAAAACCCGCGTTAATGAATCATATAAATAGTCTCGGTATAGGGATCACATCAGACGATTATGACGAAATGATTACACAATCGATAGAGGAATTTAATGAATATCAAACATATTTTGTTACTTGTAGATGGTATGCGAAGAAATTCCAACATCTTTGAAATAATGCAAACCTAAGAAGCCGTTCAATACGTTTCATAAATCGTTATTTATTTTGTATGATTAATTTAGCTATATATACAGTATATGCTTTGTAAGTGTTCTTTATATAAATTAAAATATGAAAAAATAATATAGTACTACGAGATTTGTTAACGATAAAATGTTGTGTAACCTAGAGAATAAAAAAAAAGCAACTGCAATAAATATTTTAGTGTTTAATTTTCTACAATGTTGATAATAAATATGTTGATTTTAAAAAAAGAATAATTGTAAATATACTTCTTTCTATTCTTTTTATAATTTAATATTGAATTCGATTTATTATTTATAATTTTTTTTTTTTTATATAATACAGTAGATAATATTATATTTATTATTATTAATAATAAATTTACCTTTTTTTTCTTTAATATATTTACAAATTATTAAATTAATTATTATAAAAAATTAATTATATAGTTGTTTTACAATTAAAAAGATACTACAACAAATAAATTTATTTTATACATTAAATATGTAAAATATATTAAGATTAACATTAATTCAAATATCATTATAACATGGATCGTATAAAAACCGAGTCAGATCCTATGCGAGAATACCGTAGTTGCGAGCTTCTTGTTTCTTGTTCATTTTGTCAATTACGCTGAAAAATCAACACATTTAAAAAGCATTTTGCAAAATATCAATAATAAGTTATCACAAAAAACCTTATAAACTAAATGAGCCGAAGGTTACACGAATTATCTCTTTACTTATTAGATGGATTATTTGCAATCAACAACCGTTTATGGTAACTTGATGGACGATACAAGATACCAACTCGTCAAACAATATCAAATAAAATTGAACCAATTGATAAAGATCAACATTTATTTGTAAGTAATATTTTTAAGTAACAGATACATGGTTCGCTTGAATAATCTTGGTTATTTATCTATTACATTTCATTGGATTGATGATGATTGGAATATGTGTAAATTGCTTCTTTATATTATTACTATTCATAAAACCATTCAGGATTGAATATTGCAAATATAATATTAGAAGTAATTAGCTTTTATGGAATTTGCGAAAATATTATTGCAGCAACAACTGATATGGATCAAATATGATTACATTTGCTGATCATTTTCAAAGCCTTCTTAAAGATTCTTTTGATAATGATTTTCACATTATTGTTATGCTTCTTACATTTTAAATTTAGTTATTATGGAAGGATTAAAGTTGTTGATATAGCAATTATAAAAGCAAGAGTATTTTCATTAATAATTCAAAATTCACAACCAATATTTGAGAAGTTAAAAAGATATTTATTATGAAAAACAAACCATTTCTTATACCTAATCTTATTGTTTTAACTATATCGATATGAAATAGTGCATTTTTATGATTGAAAAATTACAAAAATTTATATTTTTGTTACATCTAATAATTTTTAAAAAATAATTATTTAACTGAATTTGATTAGATTGAAATTAATGTAAGTTATTAATTTTTTTTATTAATCTTAATTCTATATATTTATTTATAAAAAAAAAATATTTCTATATTTTTTAAATATCAAACTACTATTATTAATTTAAATGATCTTTGCTTAGCATTCACAATAATTATTAAATTTCTTGAAAATATGATGAATAATATAATAGAAGAAATCTTTTGAAAAATTATTACAATTGTAATAGTAGTTAAACTTGATGAATTCTAATAACATCTTAAATAAACAACATTTATATTTATTACATTAGATCTAAATATTAAGTTAATACTAGTAAAAATATAAAGTATAATTCAACAAAAAATTTAAATTCTTTATTTAAAATATTCTTACTTTTAATAATAAATTATCACAAAATACAAATACATTATTATTATTAAAAAAATATTTTAAAAATATATTTCAAAATACTTTAAATTTAATAAATAATAATTTATAATATTATTTCTCATTTTTTAAAATTAATTATGATATATTATTATAATAAAATCTTATGCAAATAATCTAAATTATTAAATATTACAAAAATTAACTTAAGATTACCTTTGTATATAAGTAATTAATATTCTTAGTAAGCAAGTATTTTTAATTATAAAAAATCTTTTATATAATTAATTAAATTCAGAAACAATATAAGCAATTTATATCTTAAAATTAATATAAAACAGATATTAGTTTAAATTAAATAGAATTTTAATTGCTTTATTATAAAATATTTTAATTTAATTTTTTATATAAAAAAAATAATTTAATAAAATTTCTTTTTTTTGAAATTGTTATATTTTTTAAACTATAAATTATAAAATTGTTTTTAAAATATTTTAAGAATATTTTAATATTTAATGATAATAAAAAAAATGAAATAAAATTTTTAGATTTATAATATTAGGATGTACCTAATAGTAGTATTTTTTAAACTTTTAAAATTAATAATTATTAATATATTAATTTTTCAATGTTTTAATTATCTAAAACATAGTGAAGAACTTTTAATTGCATTCAAGACTATGTAATCTCTATTTATCACTAAATGAAAGTGTTCAATTAAATTTTAGAATCAGATGTAATAATATTACATAATCAAATAATAATAAATAATAATAATTAATGTTATTTAATCAGTATATATAAAAAATTGGTGTTACATTAAATTTATATTTGAGTTTTTTTTATAATATTAAATAATGTAAATACTTCAGACACATAATGGTCTTATTCCCTAATTTTTAAAAATAATTTTATTATCTAATAACTATAAAAATATAAAATTTAGTTTATTAGATTCATCACATTAAACTTGTAGTATTTTTATATTTTTGAGATTGAATAGGTAACAAAATATAAGTTTTAATTTATTACTTATTTATATTTAAAAATTACTAGTTAATTACATTTTTTTTTAATTTTTACTTAAAAATAACATAAAATTTATTAAAAAAATATTAATTTTTTTTAATAATATATTTTAAAAATAATTAAAAAAAATTGTAATTAATAATAAATTATTTACAAATTTGTGAGGCAAAACAATTAAAGAGATAATACAAATAATTAACATAGTACAATAATAAATTTAAAATAGATTTATAAGTTTAATTTTTTCAAATTAAATCAAATTGATTAAATTATTTTTAATATTTTATATAATTTTTTTATGCTACAATTAGCTAAATAATTGATTATACTTATTTATTATATGATAAATAAATATAACTTATTAAAAAATTTTCAAGTTTCTCAAATATTTAATAAAAATTAAAATATTACTAATAGTATATTAGTAATAAAATACCTAGTATTTAACTATAATCTAATCTTTATTCTAATTTAATGAAATTTAATTATATTAACTAATTTTAATGTAAAAGATAAATTAGTAATTCTGAAAAAGTATATTTTAAGATTTTGTAAAAATTTTACTAAAAAATTTTTTAAATATAAATATTTATAAAATAAATTAATAATTTATTATTAATTTATTTTAAATAAACTAAGATTAATAAATTTTTAATAATAATAAAATGTTAAATTAATTAAAAATAATTACAATTAATACTTAAAAAAAAATTATCTATATTAATAATATTATTATATAATCAATCTAAATATATTTTAAGAATTATTATATTATTATATAATATATAATACTTAAAAACTTTAATAAATTTAATAATTTTTAAAGAGTTATACAGTGCCTAACAAAACTTATTTTTAGATTTAAACGCTTATAACTTATTAACTATAAATGCTAGAAACATAATTTTTGATTTATTTAAATTCTTACATTTTGAAAAATATCCTATAAAATTTTTTTTTTACTATTAATGTGCGCTAGCTAAAGAGTTAGTAGAGGGCATATCCTAAATAGGACAAGTTTGATCCTGCGTTAAGTAACCTCTTAAAGTCTCTGATCCTAATTAAGAAGTACGGCAACCCGCTTAGAAGTACATTCCCATACAATTGCCATCTAGTATAGACCAT